GGCATACCTGATCTGCATGTTACTAACATGGAGAGATAGCGTTTTTAGTAATAGTTTCACGTTTCATCATGTGTGAAGTCCTTTTTACCTTATTACCAACAATCACATGAATTCATAAAGCTACAATCAATTCCACTATCAATATAATCTCTCCACTCTCCATAAAACTTATTTTGCACTGTAGATTACTCGTACATTCTGGTTTTGCCAAATGACTTGGAAGCCATCCGCTTTGTGCACTCCTGTGTCAGTATGACATAAAGACATCAGAAAAGGATATAACCGTTCAGATTAGCAAAATCCATCTAGCACACAGATTCCACGAATAACAACGATAACAGAAGAGCAACTATAATCAGTGCTATTTTTGTAGCCAGAGATGAAAAGACTAATTTCGGATGATACAATTTGGTTTCTCTTCTCCACGTACGCTGTCAGCTGCAGCTGTTCACCGAAAGCCTGTTCTCGGCTGTTCCTAACTCGGCTGCAGGGTACTGCTGCGCAGCAAACAGGCTCTCCCTCCCAGCCATCTGCTGCAACCCGGTACCGCTGCCCGCCCGCTCCCGCCGGAGCTGCGGCACGACCTCGTCCCACCAAATCCTTTATAGCCTCCTGCACTCACTCACACTGGCTTTATATTTCATAAATGTAATTACTTTAAAATATCAACATATTTATCTTGATAATAAAATTCTATCCTTAGTACAGTAACAGTGCAGAGCTAACTACAGAAGAAGATGTAGGTATGAAACAGTTCAGCTGTAGCCAGTACATCAACTCGCTAACTAAATGGTATCAGTATTCAGAAGGATGCCCAACCCTGAAAGTTAGGGGCTTAACACATCTGCTATATAATTCAGACTCTGTTTTACAGTGGTTTCATTACTAACGATAAAAACTGTAACAGTGGAACTGTATAAACAAACTGAACAGTGTTTTTACTGTAAAACATGAATGCAATATAAATATTTGCCTTTCCCTTTTCTCAGCATCTGTAACGAGAGCAAATTCATGCCACATGTTTATAGTGTACAGAAAAATAAATCTCAACAATTCATCCATGTGAACGTTGGTTAAACTGTTTAATGTTTTTAACTTTGTGGGGGGGTTTTTTAAGCACAAATTTCCTCGCAAATCATTAAAAAGCCTCTTGTTCTTGTCAGTGACTACAATCACTGGTTCGCAGCTGTTTTTAGAGATGAATCTGGCAGAAGAACTTGAAGATCACATTTCTCACTGATAACAAGATCAATAGCTCTGACTGGTCGAGACATGTCCACGTGGATAGTTACCATCCCAATATACAAGCCGGAAAACTGAAACTGCCACCTCAGAACATGTCAGAAGGCTTCAAAATATAAAAGCAACTGCTTTCCAGCTTCTTATATTAACAGAGTGTATTAGCAGACTGTATTACATTTGATTTTTCTTAGTGCTGTGTATGCATGCTACTACTGCTTAAAAATTACGTCTACCATTATTTAACAATTCACTCTCCATCTGTATTTGGAAAATAACTTTGCAGCACACATCACTCTCTTAAGGTGACACAGCTGAGCAGGTTACTCACAGGAACTTACTGATTTCTTGAACATCATGGCCAAAGTCTGGTCATACTTTCATACTGTTCTCAATCAGCTGTTACTAGCACTGGTTAAGGCTTATACTATCAATTCTCCACTGGTAACATAAGGTTCGATTCCATTGCAATTACAGTTAATGAAAAGATCCCTTCACTTCAGAAGTATCTGGATCACAGCCTTAAAGAGGAAAAAAAAGCATTATACTTAGCAGTGGCAGTAACGCTTTAGTTTGAGTGTCTGTGGCTGCAAGTGAGACAAGTTGATGGAGAATTTTTTTTTTTTTTTTTTGGTTTTAGCGGTAATTTTACACTTCAAGCTGACGGGTGAGTGTATTGCATAGTGTGAAGAGGAGTACTTACCCATTCAGAAAACTCTCGAGAAACACCCCCATTTAGCCGTGATTCATCACAGACAACTACTACATGCCATTTCAGTTGAAATCTTAATCCATTTAATGCACACTTTTCTGCTATGTAGTGTTGTACTGCAGATTTGTCAGCTTAAATGAAACACTTCTGCCAACTTAAATAATATATCCACGCACTATTTACAACCAAAGTTGTAGTTTCAAAGAACTCAACACAGACCTTTCAAGTAATTTTCCATTGTAAAGTTGTGGAAACGTTTTTACTTGTGCTCCTCCTGAGTCAAATCCTGTATTCAGATTCTTTTCTTTTGCCCAGACTTGATGCCAAGCTAATGGGCCTACAGCTATTTAAGTCAACTCATTTGCCACCTTTCAGTATTGATTAGCTATCAAACCTATTTCCGCTTTCTGTAGTCTTCAAAATACTCTAACAATTAATGAAAACTAATTGGGTGCATGGAGCCAACCATCCAGAGAGTCTCAATATAACAAACTTGAGTCTGCAGATTTGAAAACAGACTTGACTTCCTGTTTGCCAGTACACTGGAAAATGGTTCATCTGTACTTAAATACCTACCCCATATACTGCTTTTTCAAAAGACAAAAATGAAATACTAAGTAGTTCTGCCTTTGAGCTGATAATCTTATCCTTCTTCCAGACTTTAACCTTCACAGATGACCTTTGTTCTCAAGACTTCAGATTTAATTTCTACAAGCAACCAGGTATGCTAAAAATACTACTTTTGTGGAGATCTGCTTGTATCTGTACAGCTTGGCTCTGAACAATTTTAAATTTAACAAATTTCTCAGCTCTGTAAAACTCCTCCTCTTACCGTCTACCACCTTTTAAGTTACATGTTAAATATGTAGATTTCAGAACACTAAGATACTCGGTGGCTTCCATGTGATTTATACAGCTAACAGCAAAGTTAGATTCTGATAGTTGGGGTTTTTGTTTATTGCAGGAAGGTTAGCTGGGTTTTGTTTTGGTTGTGGTTTTTTTTGCTGTGCATCTTTTTGTGTTCACCTTAAAGCACATTAGCATAAATACCTGATTTCTAAGGTGAGAGCTTATAAGGACAGACATCACAAACTAGCATTGGTATTATATACCCTTTAATTAGAACAACACTATGGGGAGGGACAAAAAAAGCCCAGTTTGGAACCATGGAGAGCCGTAAAGCTCATGCTGTTATGGGATCCATAGTGCAGTATTATGAGTGCATGTCCTCTTCTGGAGCTCATGTTTTGCACTAGTTTCTTCCACTCTACCAGCAAAATGAAGGATTATTAATACTCTGAAAAGAAGCTCAGTTATAAAAAATTGATCTGGAAGGCCTGCTAGCACCATTCTACTGGTATTTAACTTTTCCAGTCATTAAAGGATAGTCAATTACCATACAGGAATAGTTTTGGTTTGGGGTTTTGTTTTTTTTTTTAATACAGTGGAGGGTTTATTTATGGATTGATAAATACAATATCCAATCTCACTGGGACAGTAAGGCACAACTGTATGTTACAACTATATAGCCAGAAGAGAGCAACACTTACTTTTAAGCAGATCACAAAGCATACAAACACTTTTTTACTTTTCAATCTGTTAATATTGTTACATTCCTATTTTACATGACATGGTCATAAAACTGTAATGTTTCTTTTTCATACAGAGTAGAGGTTTTTAATTTACGTTTCTTTCTGGAATTGTGCTGCACTCTGCAAAACAATAAAGTGCAACATTTCACTTTGCAGTTCCTTAATTTAAAACAAATCAAAAATCCTTCAGAGACTTGCACGTTATTCTTTAACACAAGTGATGATTAAAGGAACTGAGAAAAAAGAAAATGCACATTTGAGGGTAGTTTGAGACTGGTATTTATAGAAATGTTAACACATGACATAGAGAAGCAGTTATAACACTGATTCTTCAATAAAGAAGCTCCCAGGGTTTTTTGGTTTTATTGGAAGGACCTCCCAGACTATGGGATGCTCCAGCTGAACTAGATGAGATCATTTGCCAATCTAGCCACAGAAAATTATGTTACTATTGAACCCTCAGTAATTTTGATCTCTTGGATTTATCAGCATTATAGTAATGGTATTAATCATCTTACACTTGCAAAGAGATTTGTGTAGAAATATATTCTGAAATATTTGGGATAATATGTACTTCCCCAAATTATATTCTTATGCCAGAGCTTTCATAAATACAGCTACCACCCTCAACACAAATCTAACAGACCAGGACTTCCACACTGGAAAATGTAAATAATTACCGATTATCCAGGCCACTATGATGGGGGGGGGGGAATCAGTACTACGTTTCACGACACTATCACCAGGGAGCAGTGACAGAACTACAAATCCAGATTTTGGCATGACTGGTTTTCTTGCATTACGTACACTGGTAAACAAGTTTACACTTTCAGAGACAAAACCACCTTGATGAGTGGAGGGATCCTAGAGCAAAGCAACCTGGAGAGGGCACTTCATGGTCCACTGGCTGTCAATTCTGCAAGCTACTCAAAGGAAAGAAACAAGTTTCTGCATCTGCTACTGGAACAATTTAAGTGACTTAGTGCAGAATTCCTATTCCTTTTGAGGACACCACAGCCTGTCTCCACCACAGATTCTCCTATTGTCCCTGCGAATTCATCCCACAAAGAATAAAATCTATTCACAGTACTTTAAAGTACTCTAGGTTATCATCATGCATTCAGTGCTAGTTGTACAATGAAGCCATAGAAATTGAGAAGTCCTCAAGTAAAAGGCAGATTTGGAAGCAGGGAAGAAACAAATCTGCATGTAAAGAGCCAAATGGGGGGGGGGGGAAGGCGGCTGTGGTGTGGGGGTGCTA